AAACTCAAAAAAAAAAAAAAAAAAAGAAATGTACAGATCTCTCTAGGTAAATATTAGGTTTAACATTTCTCTCTGCTTGATTTCAACTTGTAATTTTGGGATCAATCCAGTGCTCAATACTTTTCATTTTAATCATAATATCCAATACGCTGTTTCTCATAACTGAACAATGAAATAAACATGGCTTTTGCTCTTTGTTTGTTTGGGTTTTTTTTGTTTTTTTGTTTTTTTGTGTTTTTTGTTGTTGTTGTTGGTGGTTTTTTTTGGTACCGGGGATCGAACTCAAGTCCTTTCACTTGCAAGGCACGCCATGGAACCACTTAACTAAATCCCTGGCAGGCTTTTGCTCTTTGAAAAACATTTTTGAAATTGTTTTTTAAAAACCACAATAAGAACAGTTCTGTGGCCAGTCCTGTAGCAGGTTTGTGACATCACTTACTCTTAACCTGGAGAGAGCTTACCATCCTTAATGGTTTCTCAGAAGAAGCAACAAAATGTAACTTAACATTTTTTTCTAAAACTACTACCCTAAGGAGATCTAACAATTTACTGTCAAGAATGATTCTTTAAGAGTAAAAGAATGACTTTTTAAAAATGTAAACATCCTTGTCAGTAGTTCCAGATTCATTTTGCTCCATTTTTGTAAGAAAGAACTTTGTTTCATGAATGATGGTAACCCTCTAGAGTTTCTTTTCTTTTCTTTTTTCTTGGTACTGGAGATCTAATTTGAGACCTTGCGCTTGAGAAGCATGCGGCTGAACCACTGAGATAAATCCCCGGATAGAGTTTCTTTCCCTCTTTTGTTTGTTTGTTTGTTTGTTTCAGATGACTTCCTTTCTAACATTCATTTTATTGGTACAATTTAATGTACACAGCAGTCACATTCATCTAAGGGAATTTGTACCTGTACGTGGTGTATCTTGATTCCTCTTTTTCTCCCTCCCCTCCCTTCCACCCCTCCCCCCTATTTACAAAAGCTTTGTTTCCATTTTTTCCTTCATTTCCCTTTTTCCTTCTTTCCCCCCTCCCTTCACCTTTTCCTTTTCTTTTTGAAGAGTTTCTTCCTATTTCATGTTATGTATTATATTTTTTGTCCTTGCCTTAGTATCATTTGAAAGACTTCCATTTTTCATTTATAGCTGACATTCATTTTACTCAGTTATTAAATTATCAGTTGATTTTTGGTTTTATGATTACCTATATCCAAAAATAAATGTATTTCAATATTTTAACTTTTCAGAGTATTTTTCCCAGCATTTGGGCGAGTATGAGAATGTCCTGGCAGCACTTGAAGACCTAAACCTCTCTATCCTGAAGGCCATGGGCAAAACAAAGAAAGTAAGGAAATGGTGATGTTTACTTTCTATAAAACTCTTCTTTGAAAAATATGCTATTGGAAATTATGCCTATTTTAATGTATCATGAAAATATGTGTTGCTTTTTATAGATGTATAATTATATACATTTTACAATTTGTTTTTCTTGTATTGAATGAGCTATTTTAGTTACTCATAGTATGACAAACACTATGCTGCAGAGATTGCACTTTGTTCTGATGAAACTGTTCAGGCCGCTGTCCGTCTGATGGGGACACAAGTGTGTAAATGAGTAATTCCATTCCAGTGTGACAGAAAGAAGTGGAAGGCAGGACACCTAACTCACATAGAAGGGCTTAGACAGACAAGATCAGGTGCATTCAGGGTGGTCTGGCTGTAGACCACACTGAAGGATTTAAGGAGAAGGCCATATCATTTTATAGAAAAAAATAAAGAATTGTCTAGCCCTCTATCTTTATGGAGTAGTCAGAGCCGGACAAAAGGGAGATAGGAGCAGTATACGCAGAGGCTGAGCCAACAGGGGCACAAGCACTCCAGGAAATGAGAATGAAAAGGAGACTCGTGTACAAAACCAAAGGCTGTCATCATGTGAGATGAAGGTGGGGCCGAGAGGAGCCACATCTTTCATGATGTGTACTATAGGCAAAGCTATATATGAGCCTGCATCCTAAATGCGAATAAGCCAGCAAATGCACTCTTTTAAAAAAAAGATCATGTCATAATTAGCTTGGAGTTGAAGTGAGGATATAAGGGGAATGTTCACTTTCTTTCCAGAGAGAGGGAGAGAGAGAAAGAGAGAGGGAGGAAGCACACACCAGAGAGAGTTAGTTCTTGGGAATTAAAATGAGAGTGGAAATAAATATGCAACAGGACTTTGGAGAATAAAGTTTAGAAAGTCTCCCCAAATGTAAGGCAAAACAGAAGATCAAAGCATCAGTCCAGAACATCCTATACCCAAATAACATATTACAGAAAGACAGAGCAAGGAAAACAAAACAAAACAAAACAAAACAAAAAAGGATCAGAAAGTGTTTTCTCTAGATTTCTTCAGGAGAATTTGGAAACTGCACAGTGACCTTGTCCTGTGGGAATTTCTCTCAGGAAATAGTCATTTAAAAAAATCTCCATTGGATTTGGCTGGCTTCTTCTCATTCTTTAGGTGTCATCTTAAATAACATGGACTCAGAAAAATCTTCACTGATTACATATCTAAAGTCGTCTCCATTGGAGTATCATTTGGTCCATGCTAATAATTATCAAAATAAGTGAACATATACATTTTTCTTTCTTTCTTTCTTTCTTTTTCTTTTCTTTTCTTTTTTTTTTTTTTGGCTGTAAGGAGTTAGAAGAGCTGGTGCGGGTTTTTTTCTTAGTTTAACCTGAGCCTAGCACAGGACCTGACAAAAAATGCACTCAAAATATTGACTGATGTATTAAATAAATGTATTAATTAATGAATATTCATATGGCTCCAAAAGCTTTGCTCCTTAAAGAAAATTAGCTCCTGAGTTTATCGAAAATTTGTCCACATTTCTTTCAATAGGCAAAAAAAGGAAGGCATATAATCTTTCTTATAACTATGTAATAACAATACATTGTTTTTCCTCAAATTGATGCAGTGAGGCTTTGTAGAGCTTAGACTGAAGTCTGTCTATTATTTTGATCTCCTTAATTTACAAAATCTATCTTGATATTGACCCATAAAAATGAATTTGATTCATATGATCATACTGCTTAATCAAAGAAAACATGCAACTTTGAATTTTTAGAACATGGGAAAAAGAAATGAACTGATAGAAAATAAAATTAGAAACAATTCCTTAGTGTGACGACTCAAAAATGAGTGAAATGCAGGATTTTTATATTTTTCAAGGTGCTGGTGAGCTGATATCTTCCCCTTACTGACTAACACAGTGAAGCTCTCTGAGAGAGACAGCCAGCATTTCTTTTCAAGAATCTTGGTATATTTTTACTCAGATGAAAAGTTCTGTCTCAGTGGGAAAGGCTGATTATTCCAGGCTTTTATGAAAAATGAAATACAAGCTATTTGTGGTCTATCTTGACTGACAGTACATCTGTTTGCTGTGTCAGAGAATAGATAAAATGGGTTCTAGCTGCTTGACTTAAACCCCAGAAGGTGACTTGGGACAGATAAAGCATGTCATTATTATTTCATTTCTCCTCCTTCTTAATCGCAGCCTTTCAAGAGATCCTCCAGGGATACATGGACTATTTAATTGCTTATTTTTCTGCCATGAAACATGGTATGTCAAATTCCAAATGGTCATTGGAAAGCATGAAGGTAACTAAAATCAGAAAACACACACACACACACACACACACACACACACACACAACTATGTTTGTCAATCAGTTGAGACTGAGCACAGCTGAGCCTCCGTTACTTTTGATTCTTATATCCTGATGGCTTCTCTCTCTGGCATCTCTAGACTCCTTCACCTCAGTCTCTGCATCTCTCCTCTATCCCTAGTTTTTTGTGTTTAGCATCCAGGATTCCTTAGGCTTCACATTCCTTTAACATTTAAAGATTACAGTCTTTGTGTTTATAAGTCTTACAAAGAAAAAGAAGAAGACTCGCTAATAGGTTTCTTCGTTTCAATATGGAGAAAAGATTATTAATTACTACATTCTATGCAGGGTTTATCTTGAAACAAAGACCTTTCTTTCAGGCAACATATCAGAGCTGAAATAATATCAAATATGGCATTGAAAAATAACCTCTTAGATTACATAAAATAAGAATATTTATTTTTTATTATAGTTTCATCATAATCCTTTAAGTGTGGATTAAAAGTAAAATGAAAAAAATAATTTTGGGCTTCAGAATAACCATAAGAAAACACTTTCCAAAAGCTTGGCATCTCCTTTGTATCCTGAAGTGATCTCTCTTTTATGTAAGAGTGTTTAGGGAAGAAGTAGAGACTGGGCACAGGGGAAGGAGGAGAGAAGCTTCTTTAGGTTTTATCTTTGACCTGATAGGCGAGAAGAAGCTGAAAATCTTTCATGCAGTCTTGGCCTGATTTCTTTGCTCAGCACCTGATAAAGGGGAACCCAAGTTTCTTGCAAAGATCACTCAGTTAAATCCTGAGGGGCATGGTCCTGTCAGAGGGAAGCCATGCTCTGCTGAAAGTCTCTGCAGTGCCTACTGACTCTGAGAGTAAGAATATGAGGGTACAGGGCTCAGTGGTGCCGCAGCCTGCCTGGCAAGTGCAAGGTCTTGAGTTTGATCCCCGGTACAAAAAAAAGGGGGGGATTATAAAATAGTTTATTTATTGAAATCATAGAGAGATATATCTGAATTAAGTAATTCTCATTTTAAATGTTTAATTTAAAATGTCTGTGGTTCCATATTGAACATATTACAAATATAGCATTCCAAGTTATAATCATGATGCACAAAAATTTTTCTAGTTTTAGATATCTTTGATTATGATTGAGAGAGAGGGAGAGAGGGAGGGAGGGAGGGAGAGAGAGATCACACTGAGGGCCTCATGGATGCTAGTTAAGCAAGTCAAGCATCCTACCACTGAAACTATACCCCCAGCCCCACCTTTGGGGTTTGAGACTGTTGAACTTCTCAGAGTTCAGCTGTGGATCAGCAAAGACATGGAGAATTCCAGCCTTTGTATTAGAATTAGAATTATTTTCATGTTTTTTTAAAGACAAATGAAGAAGTAGTTGCCCAGAGCTCAATGTAGGACCATGTGAAGACCATGTGAAAGGAATTATGGACAGGAGCCCATGATAATAAAGGCTGAAATGGTCCTTAAATACTAAAATCAAAAGATGAAAGTACATAAGGAAGTTCTAGCATGGAAATTCAAATAGTATTTAATACATAGTTTGTTGGCATCTAAGAAATAGATGAAATTCTAGTGAAAAAATAAGAGATATTAACATCCCACATCAAGCAATATTTAACTTTCTACTTTTTAGAAGAGTGAAATATGTTACTCAAAAAATGCTAATATATTTCAGAGCAATAAAGCCATTGGTGGCCTTCTGAGCTCTAGATAGAATTTCAAAGCATCCAAATAGGAGTCTATTTAATTTTTTGCCTCAATAGCTGATTATTCTAGAACTAATTCTTGAATAAGCTATCCTTTGTCCATTCCCTTAAAATACCATGTTTAACATTTTCTGAATATTTATGATAAATACTAGTTTTATGTCAAGGTTCACTATCTTGTCCCACTGACAAAACAATGTCTTCCTATATCATTGACATATTATTTGAATTCTTGAATACTTAGGTATACTTGAAAATGTGAAAGTGTAAGTCTTCCCTCATCATTCTTCTTTCCCAAATATTTTTCCTTTTGTTTGGCCATTTTTTTTGCATAAGTTTTAAAATTGGGTTTTTTTCCCGTATCTATGGAAAATTTCATTTAATATTTCACTGGATTATCATTAAATTTTTTTCAAGTCACTTTGAGAAAATTGTAATCTTAGCACTATTACCCCTTTCTTTTCAGGTGGGCCCATATTTCTGCATTTATTCAAGTTTCCTTTTATACCTCATTTAAATTTTTAACAATACTTCATAGTTCAAAACATTTCTTGTTAAATCAATCCATATATATTTTATATGGTATTGCACTTATGAATGATCTCTCTATCTTTAGCTTAATATTGGTGGGATATTGCAAAATGAGTGGTTTTTGTACACATATTTGTTCCATCTGTGATATGCCATTTGTTTTCCTTTGCTAATATCCCAGGTTTGAGCACTGAGATTTTAAAAACCAACCACCAGGAGCCAGGGACTTAGCTCAGTGGTTCCATCACCTGTCTCGCAAGCACAAGGTCCCAAGTTCGATCCCCAGTACTGAAAAAATAAATAAACAGACCAACCACTTCATCTGTCTCCCAGAGAAACTAATCTATACAGTCTTTAACCTCGTGACTGATCATCACCACTTTTCTGATTTGAACTCTGAAGCTATGCTATGTCTGCTGTGTTCTATAAGGATTTTAATT